AGCAAATGAACTGACTGGCTGTCACTGAAGACAACACCTGAACAAACATGAATTGGCAATTCGGTTCAGCCATGGCATGAGCTGGTTAGCACAGTGGTAACACTCCTTCCATGCCTGATGGGTCCGGAGTTCCAATTCCGGATTGTGGGACGGTGGATTTGCACTGCTTATAGAAATCCGTTGAGCTTTCGTAACGTGTTAATTCGTTTGACACCTTTGCTTTACGATCTTTCTGTAAAGTGGCAAAAGTGCACAGTTGCATCGAGTTCGGCAGTGTTATAAACTAATGGGTGCGTGGTTCTCCACCAGTTTAGGTTACTCTCCCTGGCGTGATTTGGGCCCCAGGGATCGAGGTTCAAACACCGCCATGGTCACCCAGCATTGATATTATGCGGCCTCATCTCTGTTCGGTTCAATATCATACCTAGCTCAGCCCAGCCGGGCCGTATACGGTTGTAACGGTTATAACATGCGATAATAAACAGAAACTGTTATTTATGTATACCCATCATTGCGCACTGATTCCTGTTCCATTCGCTTTTCTCCTCACAGGTCTGGTTCCAAAACGCTCGGGCCAAATTTCGTCGCACTCACAGTATCTATTTTCAATCACAATCATCCGAACTCAAACTGGACAACGAGCAGACCCACGTAACCGGTCAAGACTCTCCGATTTCACCGAACGGAGGACCAGTTTCTCAGTCCTACTCCGATAGTCAGTCTCTTCTGTACCCATCCGAGAGTATTCGCAGTGATTCATCTCAACCAAGTCTGAGCGATTTGGACAACTCATTCAGTCTGTACACTTCGGATTACGGGATACTAACCGGTCAGAATCACATTTCCCAACTTCCTCCTCCACCCTGTCTCACTCCCCTATCCTCAACGGTGCAGTCGAAAGGAGTGCACGGTACAATCAAATCAAACCCAATCACAACAGCATCCGCTTCATTTCCCAGCAAACCTTGGTTAGTGAAACCGACAAATACAGAGTCCGGTTTGCTAAACGGTATTTCCGAGGCCGACACAGTGGTTCATTTTGATGCGTTGAACAATGGACACTTCTACCCGTATTCCGTGTGCACTGGGACCACTGTGGAAACGGTGACAACGTTCCCGGGTCACGGATCATTGATGTCGACTTCGTTTGACACAGCTAGTAGTGCATCCCCGCCCACACAATTCTGTGCCGTTGAAGAACTCACCGATCAGACTACCACGTTCTGTTTGATCGACACGGAAGCGGCCGATGTCACACAGATCTGTTTGCCCCGATCTCGACCGCGTTGCGGATCAGCTGATGTAAGGTGACGGACGGGTGCAACGGGACGAAAAGCCTGCACCGATCGTATCATAATGCTGTGAATGAATGAATTCATGTAGGTACATTGTAGCTGACCGTTGCGAGAGCGCGCGCCGCAATATTTTTGCGATCCATGGACCACGGGTGAATAAAATCTTTTAGTACAATATGTCATAGAACAGGAGAACAGGAAATATATATTTTTTTCGTTCTTTGTACATATGTGTGTGTTGAATTTACTTTATTCCTTTTCTTCAAATACATTCTGATGTTTCTACTCCTTTTGAATTGTGATTGATTGGTGAACATGATAAACTGCGAAAGTGGTTTCAAGTAAGTGGGGTAGAAAAAAACTTGGAAAAAATATCGTGCATCGCGCATAGTACGATTCAGCAATCAAACGGACTAGTCCAAACATCAAATTCTACAATAATGTAGTCAAAGTCAACGTTTTATTACGGGAATAACTTACAAACTGGTGCTTCTCTTGTCCCCATCGGATATTCACACAGATGAACCGTTACACGTTGAAAAAGGAGCCACATAGAGTTCCGGGTGGAAGACAATAGAGGATTTAGGGTACAGTGAATTTGCGTTTGCTTTTAGTGATGTACGAATGTCAGGTGTGCCAAGGTTTCGTCGAGTCTCTGCTTGAAAGACTCAATAGTGGGTGCACAAACGACATGAGATGGAAGGACGTTCCAAGAACTGCAT